CATGCTGAGGCAGGGCCTGCATGTCTAGAAGGATGCCCTGTCCTGGGAAACGGCTGCTTTGGAGACACACAGACCCGGCTCCACCAGTTGTAGCTCCTGACTTTGAGGCAAGTCTCTCAACCTCCTTTTAAAAATAAACATCAATCTTCATCACTAAGATTGTTAAAAACAGTAGAATGAAATCAATACATGACTCTTTACTAGTATTTGAAGTGGGGTTACTTCCCCAACTCCAAAGTTTACATTTATTACAAAAGAATCTAACAGCCCTGGCCGGTTTGGCTCAGTGGTTAGAGCGTCGGTCTGCGGTCCGGAGAGACCCGGGTTCGGTTCCGCTAAGGGCATGTACCTCGGTTACAGTTTGTCCCTGGCCCTGGTTGGTCTTGCCGGTGGCAGCCATCGATGTGTCCCTTTCACGTCGATGTTTTTCTCTCTCTCTCTCTCTCCCACCTACTCTATCTGAACAAAATATGGAAAAAAATGTCCTCGGGTGAGGAAAAAAAAAAAAAGAATCTAACAGAAAAACAAAAATATTTCTCTAAATCATGAATCTTTGTTTAAGAAAACTTCTCTGTTCTTTCATTGTATTTCAGATTTGAACATAGCTACCATCCTTGAGTATAGTAGTTAAATTTTGAAAATAGGCGGACCCTTGCTTTGCCTACATTATGGGTGTGATAGAACAAGAGTATGAACTTATGAACTCAAAAGTATTTTCAGACTATAGTGAATCCTCTTGGAATGCTAGAGGCATGTCTGCATATAAGTTGCTATTAATTTACAGATTGCTCAAATTTTATCTAGGCTGCATAATACTCATGGAATTGTGCCTTAGTTTCCTCAGGAACAAAAGTGCTGGGAATATATCTACCTCATAATGATGGAAATAATTTGTAGACCAGAGACTGAATAGGAGAATCCAACCTGCCACGCGTCTGCTGGAGGGGCACACTGGCTCCTGAGAGGTTGGAAGCCACCCTGGCGCCTCCTCACGTGAGCAGCCTCACACCTGAAGGGACATGGGCTGCCGGCATTTCTTAAAGCTGGAGAACCCTATGAAGACAGAGCTGGCCAGTACCTTCTAGTTTCTCTGGCTTCACCCTCACCGATTTTTTAAAATAATCTTTTTTGGGGGTATTTTATTTTTAAACTTTTATTTATTTATTTATTTATTTATTTATTTATTTATTATGTTTTTTTCTTTATTGATTTTAGAGAGAGAGGAAGGCAGAAGGAGAGAGAGATAGAAACATTGATGAGAGAGAACATTGATTGGCCGCCTCCTGTATGCCCCCACTGGGGATTTGGCCTAAAACCTGGGCATGTGCTCTGATCAGGAATCAAACTGGTGACGTCTTGGTGCATGGGCCGATGCTCAACCACTGAACCACACCGGGCAGACTTTTGGGGTTATTTTATTTTATTTGTTCATTTCTTTATTTTATTTTTGCTTTTTTATTATTATTTATTTTATTTTATTTTATTTTTATTACAGATGTTTCTCCTTTTATTCCCCATTGACATCCTCCCCCCCCCCCACTCAGCTCTGTTGTCCATGTTCATTGGTTATGTGTACATGCATATAAGTTCTGTGGTTTATCTCTTCTCTCCCCCCACAACCCCCTCTTCGGAGGGTTGTCAGTCTGTACCCTACTTCCACGTCTCTGGGTCTACCCTATTCCTCAGACTTTTGTGTTCATTATATTCCACAAATAAGTGAGATCATGTGGTATTTGTCTTTTTCTGCTTGGCTTGTTTTGCTTAGGATAATACTTTCCAGGTCCCTCCATATTGTCTCAAAGGATAAGAGATCTTTCTTTCTTACAGCTGCATAGTACTCCATTGTGTATATGTACCACTGCTTTCTTATCCATTCGTCCACTAATGGACACTCGGTCTGTAGCCAGATCTTAGAGATTGTAAATAGTGCTGCTATGAACATGGGGGTACATATATTCTTTCTGATTGGTGTTTCAGGCCTTTTAGGGTATATTCCTAGAAGTAAGATCACTGGGTCAAATGGCAATTCAATTTTTAATTTTTTGAGGTAACACCATATTGTTTTCCATAGTGGCTGCACCAGTCTGCATTCCCATCAGCAGTACTAGAGTACCCTTTTCTCCACAACCTCGCCAACACTTGTTGTTTGATGTTTTGGGGGATTTTAAAACTTCATTTTTTAATTTAATTTAATTTAATTTAATTTAATTTAATTTAATTTTTTTGTAACGTGACCCTAGCGGGAACTGAACCCAGGACTCTCTGGTCCACAGGCCGACGCTCCAACCGCTGAGCCAAACCGGTCAGGGCAAAAGTTTAATTTATTTTTAATTATAGTTGGCATACAACAGTATGTTAATTTCAGGTGTACAACATAGTGATTCAACATTTACATACTTTACAAAGTGATCACTATAATAAGTCTAGTAGTCACTTGTCTCACTGAGTAGTTCACAAATTTGGGGGGAGGGATTCATGAGAGGAGTAGAATCTAGGTCTCTGACTTTTGCCCTGGCTGGTGTGGCTCATTTGGTTGGAGTGTTGTCCCATGTACAAAAAGGTGGTGGGTTTGATTCCTGGGGTCATACCCAGGCTGTGGGTTCAATCCTTGGTCGGGATGCATGCAGGAGGCAACTAATCAATGTTTCTCTCTCACATTGATGTCCCCCGCACCTTCCTCTCTCTAAAAATCAATAATAAGCCCTGGCCGGTTTGGCTCAGCGGTTAGAGCGTCGGGCCTGCGGTCCGGAGAGACCCGGGTTCGGTTCCCGCTAAGGGCACGTACCTCGGTTGCAGTTTGTCCCCAGCCCTGGCTGGTCGTGCGGGTGGCAGCCACTCGATGTGTCCCTTCACATCGATGTTTCTCTCTCTCTCTCTCTTCCTCTCTCTCCCTCCCACTCTATCTGAACAAAAAACGGGAAAATGTCCTCGGGTGAGGATAAAAAAAAAAAAAATCAATAATAAAATAAAAGTTTCTGACGCTGTTGTTTGTTTGGAAGTTTTTTGCTCCTTCTCTCTGGAGTGGAATCCCAGGTTGGAGGGGGCATATGTACAATAGTTTTTTTTTTCTTCTTTATTGATTTTAGAGAGAGAAGAAGTGAGAAGGACAGAGAGAGAGAAACATCGATGAGTGGGAATCAGGCCCACAACTTGGGCATGTGTTCTGACCAGGAATCGAATCAGTGACCTCTTGGTGTATGGGTCAACCCTCAACCACACCGGTGGACTGTACAATAGTTTTGATAAATACCTGGGTAAATTTCTTAACTATAATGAGCTTCAGTTGTCTCATTTTTTTTTTTTTATCCTTACCCGAGGACATTTTTCCATTTTTTGTTCAGGTAGAGTGGGAGGGAGAGAGAGAAACAGAGAGAGGGAGAGAAACATCGACGTGAAAGGAACACATCGAGTGGCCGCCACCCGCACGACCGACCAGGGCCGGGGACAAACTGCAACCGAGGTACAGGCCCTTAGCGGGAATCGAACCCGGGTCTCTCTGGACCGCAGGCCGATGCTTTAACAGCTGAGCCAAACCGGCCAGGGCGTCTCATGTTTAAATAGATGATGGTAGTGTTTATGTCATATAATTGAGAAAAGGCCTGGTACATAGTAAATGATCAATAAATATTAACTGTGAGCCATCTGAGGGGAGAGACAGAGTAAATTGATAATTATAGTGTAGTGTAAGATGCTATGATATAGGCAAGTGCAAAGTGTCTCAGGAGCAAAGAAAACAGATATCTAAGTCAGACGGGGTTGGGAGTCAGGGAAGGCTCACTGGAGGAGGTAAGACAAGCTAGGTGTTAAAGTACAAGTTGGGCCCTGGCAGTTTGGCTCAGCGGTTGGAGTGTCAGCCTGTGGACTAGAGAGTCCCAGATTCGGTTCCCGCTGGAGGCACGAACCAAAAAAAGAAAAAAAAAGAAAAAAGAAAGTACAAGTTGGAACTTCTTTCACAGGCAAAAGATGGGAAAGGTGTTTCAGGCAGCGGGAACAACAGGTGAATGCATAATTAGAGCCGGTTACAGCATATACAGGGCATCCTGCAAGTGTTAATTTATATCACTTTCTTCAATTTCAGAATGTTTCTTGCACTCTACTTAAAAAAAAAACACCTCACCCAAGGATATTTTCCCCACTGAATTGTAGAGAGTGGAAGGGAATGAGGGAGGGAAGAGAGAGAAAAAACGTCGACGTCAATTGGTTGCCTCCCACACGCGCCCCGACAGGGCTGGGGATCGAATCCGCAACCCAGGTATATGCCCTTGACTGGGAATCGAACCTGCACCCCTTCAGGGCACGGCCCACGCTCTAACCCCTGACCCACACCGGCCAGGGCCAAGGCCCCCTTTTAATTTATACTGTTGATGTCACCACGTCATTCCAAGCTCTCTCGCTTCCGAACACCTTTGGAGAGGAGGCTGCGGCTAGAAAAGCGATGTAAACTTCTTCGCTCGGCTAGAAGGGCCGCACTATAGTGGCCTCTCCAGTTATAAAAACCTGTTTAACAATATAGTAGCACGTGTGTGATTAAGCCCCTCCCCCAACATGCCATCATCAGACCACCCTCTGGTGTCACTTCTCCTATCATCTCCAAAAAGACCTATTTTCACTGCGGGGCAAATATAGATTTGCTTTAGCACATGCATTGCAATGCACGAATACCAAGGCTGTTTGGAAGACTACTTCCACATGATCATGTTTATTCTTTTCAAACAATATTCGTAGGGTTGTGAGGAAGGGCATGTGAGGTTGATGTCAGAAAATTTTAAGAGGTCGCCTCCCTAGGAGGAAAATAGTTGCATCCAGTCCCCACCTTCGACCGTCAGCTAAGAAGGCGGGGCTATGACGTCAGGCTCTGGGCGGGGCCGGACTGTTCTAAATGAGCGCCGGGAGGGGAGCTTCTTCAGCGGAGAAGGCCGCCCTGGGAATTAGCCTTCTTTGCCTCCATATTTAATTTATTTTATTAGACGTTAATTAAAGCGGACGGCAGTGCATGTGCGGCTGGCGGTCCTCTTTACAGCTGTGGCGAAGACGCGTGCGGAAGCCCTCCCTGTTGCCGCCCCACCTAGTGGCCTCATCCATTTCTCGCGGGTGGCCCAATTTAAGGGTTGGGAGTAGTGTCATCTTTAGGGATCGCAAAGTGTGGGGGCCCGATGGCTCAGCTAGGGGGAGGCCCCCGGCTGGTACTGCTGTTCAGCGGGAAGAGGAAATCCGGGAAGGACTTCGTAACCGAGGCGCTGCAGAGCAGGTGTGTGTGCGTGTGCGTGTGTGTGTGTGTGTGTATTGGAGGGAGGGGGGTGCGAAGGGGAGGAGAGGGAGAGAAGAGGGGAAATCCCGCATCACGTGACACGACGGGGTGTGTTTGAGTGGGAGTGAGCTTTGGAGTAGGGGTCCTGGGTTACAGATGGGAGAGCACTGAGCTTCGGGATGTGGGGCATTGTCACCTGCACTTAAAACTGCATTCTGGCCCTGGCCGGGTTGGCTCAGTGGTTAGAGCATCAGTCTACAGACCAAAGAGTCGTGGGTTCGATTTCTGGTCAGGGGCACGTTACCTGGGTTGCAGGTTCGATCCTGCTGGAGGCAACCAATCTATGTCTGTCTCTCTCTCTCCCTTCCACTCTATCTTTTTTTCCCCCCTTTATTGATTTTTAGAGAGAGAGGAAGGGAGAGGTAGAGAGACAGAAACAACCATGAGAGAGAACATGGACTGACCACCTCCTGCATGTCCCCCACTGGGGATTGGGCCTACAACGTGGGCATGTGTCCTGATCAGGAATCAAACCCGTGACCTCCTGGTGTATGCGTCGATGCTCAACCACTGAGTCACACCATCGGACCTTCCACTATATCTTAAAACAAACAAACAAACAAACAAACAAAACCAATGGAAAAATATCCTTCAGTGAGGTTAAATAAAACAAAACAGAAGACAACAGTCTATACCCATCTACCTGAAAGAACCGAGCAACCACCTCTCCACTAAGACTGTAAACTGTAGGTCTCTTTCATCAAGAAGCATTAATAACAGTTACTAGTAAGGCACTTTTTGCATATAGTTTCTAATCCATGCAACAGTGTTTCAAGGTAACTGTTACAGATATGGAAACTGAGTCACAGATAAAGGGTTTGCCTAAGACCACACCCCAATTTTGTCTGACTCCAAAGACAAGTCCTTGCCCATCACACCACTTAATAGTTGGGGTTTCTTGAGCCTTTATTATGTCCCAGGCACTGTGTATATATACTATCTCATTTAATCCTCCAAACCTCTTTGTTGGGTAGTATGTGTTCTTAGTCAGTATCTCCATTTCACAGATGAAGAGACTGAGGCTCTGAAAAGTTAAAAAAACAAAACACAACCCAGACTTGCCAGGTTGCAAAGTCATCGTTAGATCTAGGACTCAAATTAAACTTCAGTCTAGCTCCAAGGAATGAGTACTTCTGCTTTACCTTACTGTCTCCCCAAATAATAGCTTTCTTTCAGTGTTTTCCCTCAAAGCAAGATGTTCTGTGTGGGGACATTTTTGTTGAGGCATGGCTGGGGCTGGGAGAACAGAGTTGCCAGGGAGAAGGCAGGTGGGGCTCCTCTTCTCGCTCTCTCTTTTTTTGTTAAATGTTTTTATTGCTTTTTTAGGGGGAGAAGAAGGGAGAGAGAGGTAGAAACATCGACGAGAGAGAGAAATATCGATAGGCTGCCTTCTGCACGCCCCTCACTGGGGATTGAGCCCGAAACTCAGGCATGTGCCCTGACCAAGAATTGAACCGGGACCTCTCAGTCCATGAGGCAACGCTCAATCCACTGAGCCACACTGGACGGGCCGGGCTCCTCTTGAAGATCAGTGTGGTCAGGATACCTGGAGGTTGCTTTTGGCAAAACAGGGGTTCTAAGAGGTTGTGGGGGAGCCCGGGGCCAAGATCCATCAAGTATCCACCACCTTTTCCTAAGTTGCATTTTCCTTACTGCAAACAGAAGTCAAATAGTGGTCAGAAGCACAGGCTCTGGAATTAGACGGCTGAGATTCAAATCCTGACTCACACTTATTAGTTTGTGATCTTGTATACGTTTCTTATTCATTCTGTGCTTCAGTTTTGTAATTTGTGAGACAGGGTAAAAAAAGGGTGGTTGTAAGGATTAAATGAAATAATGCATGTGAAGGGTTTAGAACAATTTTTGAGAGGTTGTCTATTAGTTTTATTTTACCAACACTGGCTTCATTACTTGCAGTGTTGCTTTGGGCAAGTCAGTTCTTCTCATTCGACCTTTGTTTTCTCATCTGAAACGTGGAAATGAGAACACCTACCTCTCTCTGCCAGTGTTTAATTGAATCTGTGATCATACAGTACAGTACAATAAACGGTTGAATAAATCAAAATGAATGAATGAATGATTAATGTGGTGACCAAAGCAGTTGAGACTGAGATACCCTTGCTGTGAGACTAGGTCAGGGGTCCAGCAGTAACCTAATCTAGCCAGAATATCACACTGTCATTATAATTTTATTTGTTTTACCTGTTAGTTTCAGGACTCTTTCGCCTTCATTTAAGTTTCATAATAATCCTGTGGGAGACAGACCAGAAACTGGTATCCCCCTTTTGCAGATGAGAGAATAGGGCCAGGGAAGTTGAGACCTGACAAAGTTAGATAGATACCAGAGCAGAAATGGGACTTCAACCCAGGCCTCAAGACTCTTCTGGGGCCTGGAAGATCCAGGCTAACTGGTTTGGATCTCTGTCCCACAGACTCGGAGCTGACGTCTGTGCTGTCCTCCGGCTCTCCAGTCCACTCAAGGAGCAGTATGCTCAGGTAGGTGGTGGCTCTCTGTGACATCTGGTGGGTTGGAAGGAGCCAGCTCTCTGGCATTGGTTCAGTAGTAGGGTCCCTGTGACCACTGTCGGCAGGGTGGTAGCCAACTCTCGGTTTTCTGTGGGTGTACTTTTTGGGGGCATTTTTAGCTTACATTTCTTTTCCATTGGCCTCACTCACTTCAGGCTGTCCTCCCAGAACATGTCCAAGAAAGCATGTCCAAGAAAGGCTGGAGAGGCGAGCTGGAAGCTCTGATGCTGTGGAATTAGTAAGGCTCTGCACACATTCTCTTACTCAGAACGTGTAGCACCACATGTCACTGCCTCAGCTGGCCCGCACACCCCTAGAGCTCTCTCCCCTAAGGCAATGAGTTGCATGAATGGTCAAGATATAATATTAAGTAAAAAAACAACCACAACAAGATTTGGAACAGTGTATAGAGAATGCTGTATAATAATAGGGGAAAATTATAAATATATCTGCTCGTATATTCAGCTATCCGACAAATATTTATGGGGTGCCTGCATTGTGTTAAACACTGTTCTGGTGCTTGGGATGTGTTCAAAGCTGGGAAAGACACATAAGACACGGATGTACCATTCATGGCCTCCAAGGAGGAAAGCTGTGGGCTGGGGGGACAGGGGTGGGAGAGAGATTTTTCATTGTAGATGAATGTGTATCTTTTGAATTTTGAACCATGTGGGTTTTATACAAATAAATAGGATTGTTAAAATAGGATATAAAAAAATAAACAGGAACTCTTAGAATTTTAGACTTAGAAAGAAAATGTGGAGGGTGAGATTTCTATACAATGAAGAGCCCCGTTGTGGTTTGCATTTCAGTCCTTGACCTCTAGGTGCACCCTTCCAGGCCCGGCCCCTTGGCCTTCTGGGGCCACACAGGATGCATTTGTCCCCCTCTTCAATATGACAGACAGCCTTTCCTCATGGGAAGCATTCTCCTGTACCACTGAGTCTTCTCTCACCAGCTAAACACACCCCATCACAGACTTGCAGCCGGAGGGATCCTGGGGATAACAGAGTCAGTAGTTTTCACAATTTTTTTTTTTTAGTGGGAACCTTTGGATGCAGAAGTCCCTTGCATTCAGTAGATGGACTAGGAGTGACTGATTGGGGTGACGGGGAGGGCACTCAGCCTTCCGCAGTGGGACCTGGGCACCTCTGAAGTACCCCAGGGCTCTGAGGAGGAGTTTGACAACCATGATGTGCTTCTGAAGGTCTCAGATTAGGCCTGGCTCAGACTGTTAGCCAGACTGAGGGGAGTGGGGGTGGGCTTGGAGGGCAGGAGTTTGCGTTTTTGAAAATTTAGTAGGAGACTCTGCTAGACCACCCTGCCCCTGCTGTCTGGAGGTCCAGCAGCACCCCATCCTCCACTCCCATCCAAACACAAAAAACAACACTCAGTGTTAATGCGCTGATTCAAGTCACAGTGGGAAATATAACTGACAAGTAGACCATAATGCTCCTAGTGGCCACTCTTCCCCTGTGGTAAAGAGCAGTTTAACCAGTTTACAAGCAAGAGGTGGCTGCTGGAGTCACCTTGGAACAGGAGGTGCAGGGGAAGTGATTTGACTGGCCAGGTCTGGCCCTTCAGTTTGCAGATGAAGAAACAGAGTCTGAGGGGCTTACTTGTTGCAGTAAGTTAGTAGGAGAACTGGACCTGAACTGAGTGATGCTTTTCAGACCTTTCCTGTACTGGGATCCTCTGGATGGACCCCTCGTGCTTGTCAGTGCCTCTGGAGAAGGGGACCCCTGGTTTGGAAGCAGCTCCTCAGGGGATGAGCGCGGCCCATCCTTCTCCAGGGGTCCTCTGGGCATGGGAGTCCCCAGGAGTGCCCAGGGCCAAAGGGAGTGATGCTGTCTCAGCAGAAGTTCAAGGGACTTGGGGATGCCGATGGGGTAACGGGGAAAGGAGAGAGTCAGGGAAGCCACGTCCCCTGGGCTTTGGGATAGGGGTGGACGAGGTCCAAGGGGCAGTGGGAGGATATGGAATGCAGTGTTTTCAGATTTCCAACTTCACTGGAAGGCTAAGCCTGTGCCCAGGGGGTCCACACTAATTTCAGGATTTGTTTAAGTCAGAAATGATTGGGAAGGTAAAACTGTTGCAAAAACAAACAAACAAAAACCACATTACACATTTAAAAGACAACGTGGAAAAATGTCTGGACTATCCTGAGAGTTTTCTCCTGTCCATGTTTGGGGTTTCTTATTTCCAGAGCCCGTTCCCTCATAGGCTTCGGCCCTGGCGGGCACCTCGTTGGTCCTTGCATTGCCCTGGGGGAGGGTCGGTGGGAGAAGGGATGGCCCTTCCTGTATTTTAGGAGAGGCCATCGAGGTTGGGAGGCTGGGCCATACACATAATGTGCTTTGGGCAGGAGCACGGCTTGAACTTCCAGAGACTCCTGGATGCCAGCACCTACAAGGAGGCCTATCGGAGGGACATGATCCTTTGGGGAGAGGAGAAGCGCCAGGCTGACCCAGGCTTCTTCTGCAGGAAGGTTGTGGAGGGCGTCTCGCAGCCGGTCTGGGTAAGAGTGCTGTGTGGCAGCATTAAGAAAACCCTGTTTCTCTGGTCCTCGCCTTTCCCCAGATAAATCTCAGATGTGTCCATTTCTCTGTTTCCGCTGCCACCTCCCCTGGTTCAAGCCCTCCACAGGAAAGCCTTCCCGGATACCCAGGTCGTACTGGTGCTTCCTATCCTGTGCTCCCACAGTACCTCCCCTTTTTCCTTCCACATTCATTTTGGCATTGTCTCCTGTATGAAGCCTGGTTCCAGGTGATTTGGGGAAACATTAATGCAAACATGCAATGAGATCCCTGTCCTCAGAGAGCTTACATTGCAGCTAGGGGTAGAGGGAGGTAGGCCCTAGTGTAATAATAGAATCTGTCAGGTAGAGATAGATATTAAGGGGCAAAATAAAGCAGGCCAGGGGGATGAGAAAGGCTGGTTTGCCGCTTTATTAAGGGTATAAGAAGGCCTCTCTGATACGATGACATTGAACCTGAAGGAGGTAAGCTGAATAGATATTTGTGGGGGAGGGGTGAGTGGCAGGAGGTGAGGTCAGATTATGCAGGTTCTTTGGAAAAGCCTAGATATTTCTCTGTGTGAGATGGTGACTCAGTGGAGGGTTTTGAACAGATTAGGGCAATGATGTAATCTGAGGTTTAAAGCCTCACCCTGGTACAGCCGGTGTGGCTTAGTGGTTGAGTGCTGACCCATGCACCAAGAGGTCGCCGGTTTGATTCCCGGTTGGGGCACATACCCAGGTTGTGGGCCAAATTCCCAGTGGGGGACATGCAGGAGGCGGGCAATCGATGTTCTCTCTCATTGATCTCTCTCTCCCTCTCCCTTTCTCTAAAAATCAATAAAGAAAAAATAATAATAAAAAAAATCACCCTGGCCCTGGCCGGTTTGGCTCAGCGGTTGGAGCGTCGGCCTGCGGTACAGAGAGACCCGGGTTCGGTTCCCGCTAAGGGCATGTACCTCGGTTGCAGTTTGTTCCCGGCCCTGGTTGGTTGTGCGGGTGGCAGCCCCTCGATGCGTCCCTTCACATCGATGTTTCTCTCTCTCTCTCTTCCTCTCTCTCTCTCCCGCTCTATCTGAACAAAAAATGGAAAAATGTCCTTGGGTGAGGATTTAAAAAAAAAAAAAAAAAAATCACCCTGGCCAGTTTGGTTCAGCAATTAGAGCATTGGCCTGTGGACCTGAGAGTCCTGGGCTCGGTTCCTGCTAAGGACATGTACCGCTGTTGCGATCCAGCCTCACCCCAGTTGGGGTTGTGCGGGTAGCAACCAGTTGATGTGTCTCCCTCACATCGATGTTTCTCTCTCTTTCTCTCCCTCCCGCTCTATCTGAAGATAAATGCAAATATGTCCTCGGGTGAGGATTTAAAAAAAAAAAATTAATAAAGCCCTAGCCGGTTGCTCAGTGGTTAGAGCATCGGCCTGTGGTCCAGAGAGACCCAGGTTTGGTTCCCACTAAGGGCATGTACCTCGGTTGCAGTTTGTCCCCGGCCCTGGTTGGGTCGTGCGGTTGGTGACCACTCGATGTGTCCCTTTCACGTCGATGTTTCTCTCTTTCTCTCTCCCTCCCACTCTATCTGAAAAAAAAAAAAATGGAAAAATGTCCTTGGGTGAGCAGTAAAAAAAAAATCAATAAAGAAAAAAAAAATAAAGGCTCACCCTGGCTGCTGGGGGAAGGGCAAGGGTAGAAGCAGAGAGCCAGGGAGCGAGCTTTCTGTCAGATAGGCGAGTGGCCATGGCCTGGCTCAGAGCGGTGGTAGAGGAAAGAGAAGGGGTTGATTCTGCACAGATTTTGAAGATCAAACCAATAGGATTTACTGGTGTGTTGGCTGTGGGTGTGAGGACAGAAGATGGTGCCAAGGACAAACAGAACTGTCGTTTTCTGAGACAGGAAAGGTGTGGGAGGAACAGGTTTGGGGAGAAAGTCCGGAGCCCAGTTCTGGCAGTGGTGAGGGTGAGATGCTGGTGGATCTGCGCCGTGATCACACAGTATTAGTGAAGCTGCTCGCTTAGTGTGTGTCTCCCACAAGACTCTAAGCTCTGAGAGGGCAAGTGCCAGGACTGTCCTGCACCGCTCTGTCTCCAGCACCTGGCACACTGTAGGCACTTGCTATCGCACTCGTTGATTCATTCATTTATTGAACATGTGCTCCTGAGTGTTCATGTGTCACAGTGCACTGGGGGCCAGGGACATAGTGGTGAATGAGACAATGTCCTTTCCCTATGGAGCTGACTCTGGGTAGGGCACACAGATAATAGACATACAGACAAACAAATGGTGATGATTTTAAGAATACTTAGTGCTCAGAGGAAAATAAGTAGCATATCAGAATCAAGAGGGACAGCCCTGGCTGGTTTGGCTCAGCGGTTGGAGCATCGGCCTGCGGACCAGACAGTCCCGGGTTCGGTTCCCTCTAGGGGCATGTACCAAAAAAAATAAAAGAGGGACAGAAAGGGCACCAGGGTGGTAGGAAAGCCTCTCTGAGGAGGTGACATTTGAGCAGAGATGTCCATGAGGTGAGGGAGCCTATCTGGGACTTATCCAGACAGAGGGAGTTGGACATGCAAAAGCCCCAGGGAGGAGACCTGGTTGGCATGTTTGAGAAACAGCAAGGAGGTCAGTGGCTGCGGTGGAATGAATGAGGGGAAGAGGATGTGAAACAGGTGCCAGATGTTGCTATAGGGCATTATATGTTGGGGTGAGAACTTTGGATTTTATTAGAATGATGGGAAGCCTTTGAGAGGTTTAGGGCAGGGAGCTGAGAGAAGTCACATTTATGTTTTAAAGGTGCTGGCTGTGGGTGGGCAGGGACTAGTTAGAGATCTTTGTTTCTGGCCCACTTTGTTTATCTGTAAAATGAGTGTGTTGAACTGGCTGAACTGATTTCAAAGCCCGAGGCCTCTTCTTCAGCCCAGCGCTGACCCGCACGGCTACAGAACACACGTGTGTCCATGACAGAGAGTGTGGGCAGAGTGGGCTGCAGGCTGCAGCAGTCGGCGAGGGCTTCCTGGAGGAGGAGAGACATCTGTCTCAGCTGGTTGGGTGATATTGGGGGACATTGGTCTGGGTTTGGTCGTCCCGAACTAACCTCGTTGTGCTCCTGCTTATTCTGAGCAGGGCTGGGCCTTCCCCTTCTTTCCCCGTAACCTCAGTGACCTTTCCTGTTGGTCACCTGTTTGTGTCCCTTCCCTGCAGCTGGTGAGTGACACACGGAGGATGTCTGATATCCAGTGGTTCCGGGAGGTCTATGGGGCTGTGACACAGACAGTCCGCGTGGTGGCCTCGGAGCAGAGCCGACAGCAGCGGGGCTGGGTGTTCACATCAGGTGAGCTGCTCATAACCTTTGCCCTCAGGGCTTGGTACACAGTCTGGCCACCACACCTGTAGACCAGGCCACCTTTTCCCATGTTCTAGGTCATCTGCTCTCTCCCTGGCAGGCGGTGGGGGAGTGAGCGAGGCATTAGAAAAGGGAATCGAGACTCAGGGGCACCCGCAGGTTAGAAAGTGGAGTGGGGTGGGGGCAGGTGTCCTGGGGGCTTAGCGGTTGCCCTTGATTTGGCCTGGTACACTTCCCTGGGCTGTTTTTTCTAGGCCAGTGGGCTTCTGAAGGCCTGGTGGGACCAGCCCAGTCCAGTGGGGGCTGACAGTGGGTCAGAGGGGCCTGAAAACTCACTCCTGTTTGATTAACAGAGTGGGGGTGGGGGCCGGAGGAAGCTGGACCAGGCTGCCTTAGCGGTACAAGCCCAGGACCAGTTCTGTGACAGTTCGGGCCTCCTCCTGCCCTAGTTCACTGTGACCTGGGGAAGTTCAGATCCAGTGGGCTTTTCCTCTCCTTGGCTCTCTCCACGGGCTGCGTTAGCACTGAGCGCTGGGAAACCCCGTTTACAGACACGGCAGGCCTGCCAGGTCGTGCAGCACTTGCTCTTGCCATTGGCAGATGGGGCTGGTACACACTGCCTCCCGAGAGCACTGACCAGAGACCTGGAGGCAGGAAGCAAGCCACATGCCCAGCGTCAATGAGTGGAAATGCACTTTGGATCGTCTGTGGTTTTAGGTGACCCAGTTCACCCTCTGCAGGAAGTGGAGAGTGAAGACTTTAGTTAGCAGAATCCTCTGCGGGTTCAGGTGGCTGTGGGCTACTGAACCTGCTCTCAGGGTTTTTCAGGAGCTCAGAAAAATACTCTCCTTGGGGTGGGTGGAGGTTGGCTTCGAAGTGGCAGAGGAGAGGCCGAGAGAGGGTGGCTCCGTCTGGGGCCAGCAGGCCTCCCTGCCCGATGCCCCGTGTTTGTCTGGAGGAGTGGGCTTGACCTTGCCATGCTTCCTCCACAGGAGTGGATGATGGTGAGTCGGAATGTGGCCTGGACAACTTTGGGGACTTTGATTGGGTCATCGAGAACCACGGAGACGAGCAGCACCTGGAGGAGCAGCTGGAGAACCTGGTAGAATTTGTCCACTCCAGACTTTAGCTGTTAGGCTCTGGGGCACCAGAAGCTGCGGGTTGAGTGAGGATGGGCTGACTCTGCCCGACATGTGGTTGCTGATGCTGGCCTAGGTGGGGAGCATACAGAGGGTCTGGGTCCAGATCTGTGGGGGGCCAGCAGATGTCAGACAAGTCAAGACACCTCCAGGACCTCATTTCTTTTTTTTTTTTTTTTTTAAATCCTCATCCGAGGACATTTTTCCATTTTTTGTACAGACAGTGTGGGAGGGAGAGAGAGGAAGAGAGAGAGAGGGAACATCGATGTGAAAGGGACACATCGAGTGGCTGCCACCTGCACGACCAACCAGGGCTGGGGATAAACTGCAACCGAGGTACGTGCCCTTAGCGGGAACCGAACCCGGGTCTCTCCGGACCGCAGGCGGACACTCTAACCGCTGAGCCAAACCGGCCAAGGCGGACCTCATTTCTTTATAGACTGGACTTCCCTGCCTCTTAGGAGGAGACTTAGGGGCAAAGGGCTGTGCTTGAAGCAGAAACCGCATCTCCGTGCCTGTCCTGTCAGCCTGTGGTCGCCTTGCTTCCTCATGAGGATGCCTTCAGCCCCTTGTTCTGGGCCAGGGTGTGGACACTAATAAACCTCCTTGGGACACATGCCCAGAACTGGACATCTCTCACTACCCAGGTGCCAGCCCCCGCTGTGTGGGGCTCAGAGGGCTTGGGTTCTCCAGGCGGCTGTGGTTCTTGCTCTGCCTGCCGCCTGGGCTGGGACGTACCCTGCAGAGGCTGACCTTGGCCTGGGCCATACAGGCAAGAGGTCTGCTTGTGTCAGAGACAGCATTGAGGTCCTAGGGTCTCGTCTTCTGGGATGGCCCCAAAAGAGGCTCAGTGCAGCAGGTTCCCCGAGGGACAGAGGTATCGGAGAGGGGCAGGCACACCAGAGGTCAGTGGCTCCTCATAACCACTGAGTGGTTCTGAGCGAGAGGCATCACTATAAGTCTCAGCTTTCCCACAGAGGACCTTGGACTTGACCCTTTCATTTAGACAGCCTTATACAATTTGTACATTTCTTCTAGATTCTTCGAAGCCATCCTGTGAAATGGGCAGGGAGATATTTTCATCTGCATTTAACATATGCCAAGAACTCAGGAAAGTGAAACAGCTTGCCCGGCGTGCGAGGGTAGTCAGTGCCAGTGCTCAGACTAGAACACAGGCGGCTGTCTGAGTCTCGACCAGGTCCCCTGTGCCACAGGGCTTTGGGTACAGTATCACGTCCACGGCTCCTTGCCATCCTCAGGCCTAGCCTAAGCATCCCACACTCTGGCCCTGGCTTTGTTTTCCTCCCACACATTCTGTTTGTTCTCACTGATTAGGGACTGACCAAAGAAATTTACATCAGTCTCAACATGATCAAAATTAAACTTGACACACTCCTGCCCAAATCTCCTCCCCTTAGATCACCTGTCTCTGATCCTAGTTCCTTGGCTTTTCCAGTGAACCAGGCCTGAACGCTTGACAGTTGTCATAGACTCCTCTGGGTCCCCTGACTCCTGGGGCTAATTGGTCACCAGGTTCTGTTAACCTGCCCTGCCTGTGTGTCCCTGGGAGTCTCACAGGAAGATAAACAACTCTGATGGCTGGGGCCTTGTCTCTCTGTCCCTGGTTCCCAGAGCTGTGTTGGCCCACAGTGGGTGCTCAGAAAATGGATGCAATTGGATGCATGGTGAGACAGGACTCTCGAAGTCACGCTGGAATCTAGTAGGTGATCATTTCATGCAGGAGGCCCTGTCCCAGCTCCCGGGCCTGGACCCTCTGCTCCCCTGCCAGCTCGAGCCAGGACTGGCTGAACTGCTGCTGGGGCCCTTTCCAACGTGGTGCACTGTTCGGGGGTCCTCACAGAGGTGCCAGCAGAGGCTGTGTGAGCCTGCCCCACTCCTCTGAGCACTTGGTATTCATCCCAGGTCTGTGACCCAAAGAGTTTACCTCCCTGTTTCCCCAGACTTGGCCCCAGCCACTGTCGGTCATTCCTGTGACTGGGATTGTTCGAAAACCTCTGCAGTGGGCTCCAGAGGGCACCTCCCGGCAGCAAGGGCTGTGCCCGAGGACGCGGGAGGGTGCTCGCCAGGGCGCATCAGCCCCAGGTGTTGTGGAATCCCAGTCTCCTTCCCTCAGGCCCCACAGACATCTCTGTGGCACTGACTTCAGGTTCCCTGGCACCCTTTCCCCTGGACTGAGAGCTCCTTGGGGAATGGGCCGGAGCCCTGTTCATCTTTGTGCCCCCAGTGCCTGCCACGAGGCAAGGGCAGTGATGGCAGGCGATGAGTAATGACTACTGCCTACCGCAGCCAGACGTCATGTCAGGGATTCTAAATGCTACATCCTTGGAAAGAGCTTTCAGAATTAGTGTAAAAAAAAAGAGAGAGAGAGAATAAAAGAAAAAACATTGACCACATTTAAAGCTTTTAGGTACTGGTTTAACAGCCATCACCTCAATGATAGTTTTTTTATTTTTTTCTTGATTGATTTTTAGAGAGAAAGGACGAGAGAGAGAGAGATAGAAACATCAGTGAGAGAGAACATCGATTGGCTGCCTCCTGCATGCCTCCCACAGGGGATTTGGCTCCAAACCTGGGCATGTGCCCTGACTGGAAATCGAACTGGCAACCTCTTGGTGCATGGGTCGATGCTCAACCACTGAGCCACACCAAATGATAGTTTTAATAATAATAATAGCCCTGGCCAGTGTGACTTGGTTGGAGCGTCATCCCGTACACCCAAAGGTGGTGGGTTTGATTCCTGGGCAGGGTACATACCCTTATTGTGGGTTCAAGTCCTGGTTGGGATGTGTATGGGAGACAATAATCCATGTTTCTCTCTCACATCGATGTTTCTCTTTCTTTTTTTTTCTTTATTGATTTTAGAGAGAGAGGAAGGGAGAGGGAGACAGAGAGAAAAACATCGATGAGAGAGAAACATCAACTGGCTGCCTCCTGGATGCCCCACACTGGTGATCCGGCCCACAACCTGGGCACGTGCCCTGACTGGGAATCGAACCAGCGACCTCTTGGTGGGTTGATGCTCAACCACTGAGTCACACTGGCTGGGCTCTCTTTCTTCCTCTCTAAAAATCAATAAGGGGTTCCTGGTTCCTGGCTCTGTGGATTTGGAAGAGTCACAGGATGTGACATGGGAAGCCAGCAGGTCCACCCCCAACTCTCTGGCAGGTAGGCACTGATGACTTAAAGTGGGAGGCCCCAGGGGCTAACCAGAGTCACTTCTGCTGGATTGGAGTTTCCTCCATTCTTAAAAAAAAAACCCGATGTTTCACCCTGGCTGGTTTGGCTCAGCGGTTAGAGCGTCAGCCCACAGACCAAAGAGTCACGGGTTCGATTCTGGTCAAGGGCACATACCTCAATTGTGGTTCGTCCCTGGCCCTGGTCGGGGTCGTGCAGGAGGCAGCCAGTTGATGTGTCTCTCTCACGTTGATGTTTCTCTCTCTCCCTCCCACTCTATCTGAAGATAAATGAAAAAGTATCTTCGGGTGAGGATTAAAAAAAAAAAAAAATTCAGAAAAAAACCTGCTGTTTCTCTAAATATCAAAATCAAGAGTAGCCCCAACTTTTGATACCCTATGTTATGATGAGAACGTTAGCTGCTTTTATTTCAGGACATTTCTCCACTCTACTAATCTTTGCTAATTTTGTCTGTGGTTATAATCTTAGAGTATTACTATTAAGTTATTTTGTAATATTATGTATATGTTCTTTTAATAATGATTTGCACTAACCTTCCTTTATTTATTCCTCACCTGAGGATATTTTTCTATTTTATCATCAGATAGAATGGGAGGGAGGGAGGGAGAGAGAGAGACAGAAAGAAACATCGACGTGATAGAGCCACATCGACTGGTTGCCTCCCACACGACCTGACCAGGGCCAGGAACAAACCACAACTGAGATATGTGCCCTTGACCGGAACCGAACCTGCAACTCATTGGTCCACAGGCCAACACTCTAACCACTGAGCCAAACCGGCAAGGGCTGCACCAACATTCTCTTAACATTATTTTATCATTCCATTTTAAACACCTTTATTGTGATATAATTGGCATGTAATAATGGCACACATTTGAAGTGTATAATTTGATGAGTTTTGACTTTTTTTATACACCCATGAAACCATCAACCACAATGGACATAGCCATCACCCTCAAAAGCTTTCTCACATTTCCCCTTCTCTCACCTCTCCCTGAACCCCTGCCCTTGTCCTCAGGCAACCACTCGCCTGCTTTCTGTCTCTAGATTAGTTTTCTTTTTTTTTTTTATCCTCACCCAAGGACATTTTTTCCATTTTTTCTTCAGATAGAGTGGGAGGGAGAGAGAGGAACAGAGAGCGAGAGAGAGTAACATCGACGTGAAAGGGACACATCGGGTGGTTGCCACCCGCACGACCAACCAGGGCCGGGGACAAACTGCAACCGAGGTACGTGCCCTTAGCGGGAACTGAACCCGGGTCTCTCTGGACCACAGGCCGACGCTCTAACTGCTGAGCCAAACCAGCCAGGGCTAGTTTTTATTTTTAATAATTTTAAATAAATGAATCATATCATATATATTATATTTTGGTTTTATTTCTTTCACTCAGCATAATTATTTGAGATCCAGCCACATTATTTCAGGTATCAATAGTTTGTTCTTTTTTTAATTGTGGTGTGTGGTATGAATATGGCACAACTGTTTATCCATTCACCTGTTGATGAACATTTGGGTTGTTTCCAGTGTTTGGATATGACAAATAAATCAATTATGAACGTTTATGTACCAGCTTTTGTGTGGACATGTCTTTCATTTCTTCTGGATAAATACCTTCTTAACTTTTTTTTTATCCTCACCCAAGGACATTTTTCCTTTTTTTGTTCAGATAGAGTGGGAGGGAGAGAGAGAGAGAAACATCGACGTGAAAGGTACACATCGAGTGGCTGCCACCCACACAACCCAACCAGGGCTGGGGACAAACTGCAACCGAGATATGTGCCCTTAGCGGGAACCGAACCCAGGTCTCTATGGGCTGCAGGCTGACGCTCTAACCACTGAGCAAAACCAACCAGGGTTACCTTCTTAACTTTTTTGTTTTTGTTTTTGTTTTTTTTTTATCCTCACCCGAGGACATTTTTCCATTCCTTACTCA